CTTTATGTTTGAAGCCTGAAATGTGGCAAAAGGTTGAAAAGTTCAAGGGGGCCGAATACTTTCGCAAGGCACTGTATGTGAAGTGAGTGAGGAAGATGTGCTCGACAGAGACAAATGGAGAAGAGCAACCAAAGCAGCTGACCCCAGGACAGTCTGGGACTAAGGCTGTGAAAAAGAAGAAGAAGAAGAAGAAGAAGACTAGGAACATAAGGGGAATCTAGGTAGTGAATGAGCCTATCCCTGCCCACTACCCACCACCTGCATCTCAATGTGGTCTTATTTTTCTATTGCAACGAATGTTCCTGTGCTCTTGTCTGTGGTGTGGACAATGACAGGCTGGAGACAACTTTGCAGGCTCACAGATGGTTTAATTGGCCTTTCCTTTACAGTGGGGCATACACAGAGGCAGAGAGAAGGTACAGGCAGCCGCTGGACACATTTTGTTTTTTTTATTCTAGCTGACTAGTACTGTATAAGTTTGTGATTACCGATGTCTGTTTTAGTTGATGAATGTTTTTTTATTAACTTAAACACAATGCATTAGTACTTTAATTATCATATATGGGAGGGTTACTTGAGTGTTTTACTCATACTGTACATTCTATGTTTTGGGCCAGTATGGGGGTGGACCTGGTTACATGCAAATCTGATTCTCTTCTGTCAAGATCTTACAATGTACTGTACCTTACATTTTGTTTGTCTTTTTAATTGCTTGCCCACATTGTCTGCAACATGCCAATAATGTGTAAATATGAATACATGTTTTTCAGTAGTCTCTTCTATCTCTCTGTTTCTGATTTTATTGTTCTAGCTTTAAAGTAATACCGTCATATTTCCTTTTTCAGGGTATTTTCACATTTGCTTTTCATGTATAACCCAAATTATTTTTTACTCTTAAAGAGATAAGTTTCCCCAGCTTGGGGATTTCCAGACAATCACCAGCTGGTCATGTTACCACTCGATAAGAGAAGTAAATAGAAGAATGGAATGAGAATATAGAAGGCCACAAAATAGAAGTAAACATGTTTGCTTTATGCAAAACACGTGAATGATAGATGGAGGAGAAGGCTGGAAGATCAGCACCAGTGACATATTTTCAAAGACTGCCCAGTTTGTTCTTGCTTCTCAGATTCAAGTTGCTAAACCAGCAGATCAGGGTAAAAGTTAGAACAGATTCAAGGAAGGGCCAATAGAACAAAATCAACAATGAATCATCAACCTTAAAATACTTAAGCTTCCTTAAGAAAAAAAGACGCAGTTGACCTTATTTGAGGATCAGGTCAGTATTGGCTTCAAAATTGATCTTGAAGTCCAGAACAGTCCCTGAGTACTTGTATTATTCCACTAGCTCCACTAAATCTCCCCCGATGTACTGTAGGTTGGGGTGGGAGTGGGGGTGTTTTTCCTGAAGTCAGTTATCATGTTTTTGGTATTGGACACATTTAGCTTGAGGAAGTTTTGTTCACACCAGGTGGTAAACTCATCAACGATTGGTCCGTGGCTCCACTCATTTGCTTGCAGCAGGCTAACACTGACAGAGTCTTCTGCAAATTCA